AAAGAGTGTGAAACAAATCTAGAAAATGCAAGTTAGAAACTCTTTATTTACCCTTCTTTTTTATAATGAGTTTTGAAAGCTAAAAGGTGGAAGAATGAATTTTTAACATTATCAATGTTTAATTAGCTATCATAAATCAAGAATTAAATATAGAAAAACCAAGAGTTTTTTTAGTAGGAAAACCAAGGGTTTTTTTTAGATTAATTTTTCATTCACTAATAATTCAATTAAATTGTGTTTATTAAAAAAATTTCCAATACTATAATTGTTGTGAAAAATACATGCAAAAAGTATTGATAAATAATTACATCAAGAGAAAAAACTAGAAAACATAAAATTTAATGTGGTTCGATAATGTACCTCTATCCACGTAAGTCCACATAAGTGAAAGGCTTTATTTTCATGAATATGGTTACATAATATGTTTTTATAAAAGGTTCTAAACTGTCAAGAGTCCAACCACCTAAGGGATATTAGTAATTTTTAATAACCTCTCTTTATGTACCACTTCACTTAATACGCTCCACTGCACCTTGATATTTGCCTATAAACTATAAATTATAATAATAACATATCAATTCAATCATAAAATCACTATTGAACTTTATTTCTTAGGGCGATTAATTTATTTAGTAGTTCACTACTAACAAATAGTAATAATATGTAAACATAAATTTGAAGAACTTTACATCTTGAATAAATAGCTATACATTTGAGGTGTTTTTTATCATTTGTCTTGCCATAATAGGTAGACCAACCTTTAATTTTTTTTATTTTATTTGAGCTAATTTTTTATTTATTAATTAAAAAATGCATTTTTTCTTTTTATTTCAAGTCATTTAATTTTTTTTTGCATTCATTCTAGTTGCTTTTAGTTTTTATTGGGTAAATAACATGGTTTGAGAAAATATAACTTTTTGGTTAGCAAAATGAATTAATAAAAAAACTATAATATAAAATTGTTATATTTAAATAAAATTTCAACTATTACTATTATATTAAAAATCTTTAATGCAAATAATTAGATAAAAAGATGAAATTATATATTTTAATTTGTATCCATCTCTTAATTTTCAAACATAATTTTTAGTTAGTGTTAACAATTCCCTTTAATATTTATTTATGTATGTAATTCAATATTTATTGTTTTAAAAGCATTTATTAACTTTTCATTTCCCAATGAAATTTTTTTTCATACTAGAAAACATGTTGATTACATCTCTCTATCTTTTTTTTTCATTTAAAAAAAAGGTTATATTTTATGTCATGCAATGAAGATACGAGCAAACTAATTTAGTAGGTATTCTTATTCCTGAAATACCATAAATTATAAGATTAAAAAAATAAAAATAAAGTTCTTTTTTATAATATGATCGTAAATAATACTTTATATTTTTGTTGTAGTGTGGTTTTTGTTTTCATTGAAAATCCAAGCGACGCAGTTCAGCTTACAGTGGGGATCTTAGGATTAAAAGGTTGAATATCTTAGGATTTTAGGTGGGTACAATTGATTTTTGATGTATTTCGGGCATTGATGTTTTTAAAAATATATTAAAATAATATTTTATAATTTTTTGTATATATTAAAATAATTTAAAAATTAATTTTAAATAAAAAAAATAAATTTTATCTATCTCATTTGAAACGCAATACCACACAAACACTTGTATGTTTAAATTAACCTGGCATTGCCTTAGAACCACTCGAAACAACTGTAATTTGATTGCTTTTATGTATTTCTTGGTCCCCTCCTTTGTTAGTGTTCATGGAAAACGTGCAATGAATTGAATTGTTTGCTTCCTTCTGAATTTTGATGGAATACAATCTTTGCATGCCAAGTATTTGTGGACCCTAAACGTTTCAGGCCATTTCTGTGTACGTGCCTGGTGAGCATTAAAACACCGTTTGATATTCTTGTAGCCTCTGCTTTTTGGGAGGGTGAGCCGCGAAACCAAACGGTATTACCCGGGCGCGACACCGACAGCGGGTTGTTGTGGATAATTATTTTTTAAAATATTTTATTTTTAAATAAATTAAAATAATATATTTTTTATTTTTTAAAATTTATTTTTGACGTATCAAGACTATTTTAAAAAATTAATTAAAAATATTTAATTCCTTCGAAAATGTTTTAAAACGCAAAAAACAATGATATGAGAAGAAAAAAAATTAATACTCGCATTGCCGAGACTACTATTATATAAGAAGCCTAAGTGATGCATAATCAAATTCATCGCCTCAATTACCGTCCATATATCATGGCATCATCCTCGTCGTCTCCGCTAAGATTTTTCGTCAAACGTCGTGAGCCACAGCTGATTGTGCCATCAAAGCCAACACCTCATGAAATAAAACAACTCTCAGATATAGATGACCAGCAAGGTCTTCGTATCCATTTCCCTTTTGTAATGTTCTATCGTAGCCATCCTTCCATGAAAGGAGAAGACGCCGTGAAGGTTATCAAAGAAGCATTAGGCAAAGCACTTGTGTTTTACTACCCCTTTGCCGGTAGGATTATAGAAGGGCCACCTCGAGTGACTTGTGTGCACCATGAGTACGACCAGCTAACGCACACAGAAGCCTCCATAGTCATGACTTTGCAGGAGCATGAGAAAGATATGGTCCATCGCTCCTCCTTTTTTGGCCCTCGTGAATTGAAATCAATAAGAAAGCAATTCCACCCCACCTTAAAAAATGCTCGAACTTTGAGGTGCTGGCTTCATTTTTATGGAGATCTCGGACAATTGCTCTTCAACTTGACCCCAAGGAGGTTGTTCGTTTATCAGTCATTGTCAACGTACGTGGAAAGCAAGGCCTAAAAGTTCCTAGTGGATACTACGGCAATGCTTTCGCTTACCCAACTGCCATCTCAAAGGCTGGACTCTTGTGTCAGAGCCCATTGGGATATGCACTTGAGCTAGTGACGAGACTGAAGACCCAGATGAACGAAGAATACATTAAATCAGTTGCAGACCTTCTGGTGTTAAAAGGGAGACCACATTATACAACAGTTGGGAACTTCCTTATTGCTGATGTCACTCGTCTTGGACTTGGAGATATTGATTTTGGATGGGGAAAGGCTGTTTACGGGTTCTAATTGGAGCTCGGCCTTGTGCTAGCTACCATGTCGGTGGATTCAAAAATAGTTATGGGGAGGAGGGCATCTTAGTACCCATATTGCTGCATCTTAGTACCCATATTGCTGCCATCGCCGATCATTAATAGGTTTCAACAAGAGCTCACGAGCAATGGCATTGAGTACCCAAGAAAAATCGCACCTAGGCTTCAGAATCCAAAATAGGAGTCAAGAAGAAAAGCAAATACCTTCCGTTTAGCTTTCTAATATCATGTTTTAGAGCTTCAACTATAAAATTAACATCCTAGTTTTTTTTTTTTTTCTATCCTCTTTTGTGATATTGTACAAATGAAAATGTAAAATATTTTATTTTTCTTGTTTAATATTTAGTATCTTATACTTATTTCATGTCTAAGTATATTCATTAATCTTATATTTTGATTTAGAGAACAAAAGGAGACATTAATGACAAAATAAAGTTAATTGAACTGTTTTGGACAATTTTAACACAACTTTGTAATCTAGGCACAACTCCTTCTTCTAAACTCCGATTGAGATGATTATAAGTTATAAGAACCCTAAGGAACACCTCTATAACTTTTACATTTTGATTTTTGAGAAATACTAATTGTATCAAGATCAAAATTAGACATAAAACCATTGCACTTCTACTGCTAACATGCTAGAGCATTCTTTGACATGTAAATTTAACATGTGATTTATTTTTGGAAGCTTCCAGACTTGGTGCCTGAAATTCCAGTAGAAGACATCACTTTCTTTATTATATTAGAGCTCTATTTTATTATTTAACAATTTCATTAAATATTCAAATTCGATGGTTATTATTGAAGATAATGTTGCAAGTATTTTTAAGAGATTTTGTAGGCTTTTAAAAAGGGAAAAACATGTAAAAAAGAAAAGAGAGATCATACCTCTTCTTCTCTATTCTTTCTTCCCTATTTTCTTTTTCTCCTTTATGATTTTTATGATTGAACTGTGAAACTAAATTTGATTTGGTCGGAGGAAACTGAAGCCTCAAAATCAATAAAATTATGAGATTTAACTTATTTTGAGTGTTTAATTTCTACTTTAAGTATAAATGTTCTTTGGTGTCTATTTTTCATGATTATCTCATTTAATTACTAGGAGCCCTGCTAGTTTAACACTTGTCTTGAGTGTAATAGTTAGGGTTAATTATATTACTTGTTTTCTAATTAACTAAAAAAATAGTTCTAATAGTGAACATTCAAAGTTTGATATATATATCGATGATTAATTGTAAAAGACTTGATAATGGATGTTAACTTAAACCAAAATTGTTTTTTGATTGATTTGATAATTTAATTTGAATGTTTCTTAGTTTTTCTCTTAAAACTATTTTTGTTATTATCAAACCCTACATTTCATCTTGATTGATATAAAACTAGGATAGATACTCTCAGTGAAAACGATTCTCACTTACAGTATAACATATATTTTTAAAAGATTGGGTTTTAGTTTTGATTGCCTACGACCAAAAACCATGTATTATTCCCATTGTTTATATCATTTTCCCTCTCAATAAGATTTTTGATGTTGCACTAAAATGAATGGAAATATTTAATCGATAAAGATGGTTAATTGGTTAAAACATTGAATAATAAATTATGTTTAGAGCATCACTTAAGTCTTACCTCCCATAAGTATTCAAGAACCTCTATTATCTAATTGTATAGGTTTTCTACTAACTACTTTTGTTATTGTGGCCAACTACATGGTTGGTTATTATAACAAACACACTCTTAAGTTCATAAATTGCTTTAACCTAAATTTAAACTTAAATTTGCTATACCTCTATTTAGAGCTTATATATCCTAAAGTCAAAGGGTGTGGACTTCAATTCCTAGTCATAAGAGGGGAAAAAAGACCTAAAAGCTACATAAATTTATATAAATCCTCATTTGTATACAAAATTTTCATTAGATCCTTTATTAGGTGTTGAGATAAAATTATATAATTGATTTACTTGTTATATAAGTAATGTTGTTTTTCAATCAATTTCAATTTAGTTTGGCAACCTGTTCAAATTTGGGTTTTTCCATACCCATGAAAGTTTTTGGCCTATTTTTTTTTATCTTTCTAGCCATATAAATTAATCTGAAATTCAAGATCTATAGCTCTAGATATAATCCAATGACAGAACAATGTTTGAATTTGAAGTGAATAGGCATCTCCTTCATAAACTTAGCCTTTTCTTTGTACTTTCACTTCCAATAGTTAATCACAACAATCAATCCTTTGAATTGTGAGAATACCTGCATTTAAAATAAGCATTTACCATAAATTAAAGGTATCTTATATTATCAAACTTGTTATTATAAAACATGCTCTAGTTAAGGAGTTATTAATACTTCAAGTGCAAAATAATAATATAAAACATTGATAAAAACACACTTTTAAGTACTAATTATACCTCCCAACTAGCTTATTACTAGTCCCTAGTAATCAAAGTGTTAAAATAGAAAAACAATTTGCAAGTTTTCCAAAGCAAGACATTCATCATTTAACATCTATTACTCTATCCAAGTAAACAAACTCTCATTAAATTTATATATATCTGCTTCATATTGTTGAAACAATATATTGATAAACCTTTTTTTTTATGTGCTCAATATATAGTCACTATTTATTATCTTCTTTATGTTTTCAGAAAAACTGGTCTGATCATCCCCTTTGCAGGTGCATTTAATGCACTTAATGTCCACCAAATTTACCAAAACTTGCACGAAACTAATCACCAGACATCCCTATACATCAGGGTATGGTCGACTGACACGACTAAAAGATTGATGTCTTCTCCCAAGTGTAGGAATGTCGAAGTAATAAATAACACGGCAAGACCGAGGTCGAACCATAGGGAGGTTAATTGTACAAATTATAAATAACAACAATAGTCATAATAACAATAACAATAATAATAGTAGTAGTAGTAGTAGTAGTAGTAGTAGTAATAAAGAAAGAGAAGAAGAAGATGATGATGATGAGAACTTGGAGATAGAATATTCGTGTAAAGATTAAACAATGATAATAATAAATGTCAAGGTTAAAGGTTCCACTAATAGTATGTCAAATAAGTATAGATAAACTCTTATTATTTAATTAAAAACCACACACAAAGGAGGTTTCATTATAGATTGTTAACATGATTACATTAACCATCTTATTCGATTAATGCTAATACTTATAAATCTCGTCAAGCATGTATGATTATAACTTATGTTAACAACGAATCAAGTTCTTTTCAGAGATCAGGTGTCGGTTATACCATATAGTATGGGTTATGAAAGTGTCAAGCATTTGTTGTACCAATTATTATACAACATAAATCAAGATTAGTCATTTAACAAGCAAAGTATTAAAGAGTGAACAAGATAACAAATATAAAACATGCTAGTATCAAACATTAAAGTCCATATTAAGTTTACATTATACTTATTCTTACACCATTAGTGTAACCTTTTCACCTTGACATAATTAACTTAGCTAGACATAATGAAAGAAAGCAAAATAGATAAACAAAATAAGAACATAAAAGTTAACTAAGTAAAGGAAAGGAAATGAAAGGCATAAACTTGATATTAATGAAAGCAAAGCATAAACATTACAAAAAATACAAAGAGAGAAAGGAAGAGCATGATCTTGATCTGGAAACCAAGATGCCTAAATTCATGGCAAATGCCTCCTTTTATAGGCCAAAATTGGGAACTATTGATTTGATGACTAATTGATAAGTGGGTGGCCAACTTTTGACTTGGTGACAATCCTTATCTTCTCTTGTCTGCCCAAAACGTCATTGATAACGTCACAATTGGATATCAAACAAGTTTAGAGGTTCCACTAATGGTATATCAAACAAGGATTATATAAACTCTTATTATTGAATTGGAAACCACACACAAAGGAGGTTCCAATCATATTATATATTGTTAACATGATTACATTAGTCATCTTATTCAATTAATGTTAATACTTGTAAATCTCGTCAAGCATTCATGATTATAACTTATGTTAACAACAAATCAAGTTCCTTTCATAGTTCAGGTGTCGGTTATACCATACATTATGGGCTATGAAAGTGCCAAGCATTTGTTGTACCAAGTGTTATACAACATAAATCAAGATTAGTCATTTCACAAGCAAAGTATTAAAGAGTGAACAAGATAACAAATATAAAACATGTTAGTATCAAACATTAAAGTCCATATTAAGTTTACACTATACTTATTCTTACACCATTAGTGTAACATTTTCACCTTGACATAATTAACTTAGCTAGACATAATGAAAGAAAGCAAAATAAATAAACAAAATAAGAAACATAATAAACTTAGCTAGACATAATGAAAGAAAGAAAAATAAATAAACAAAATAAAAACATGAATAAGATTAAAGTTAACTAAGTAATTGAAAGGAAATGAAAGGCATAAATTTGATATTAACGAAAGCAAAGCATAAACATTACAAAAAATACAAAGAGAGAAAGCAAGAGCATGATCTTAATCTAGACACCAAGATGCCTAAATGAATGGCAAATGCCTCCTTTTATAGGCCAAAATTGGAAACTATTGATTTGATGACTAATTGATGAGTGGGTGACCAACTCTTAACTTGGTGACAATCCTTATCTTCTTTTGTCTACCCAAAACATCATTGATAACGTCCAAATTAGAGCTACTTGAAAACATGAAAGTTGTAGTAAATTGCCTCAGCTTTCTTGTGTAAAACATTCAGCTCATTTCGACTTCTAGCACTCCAGATATGGCCAAAATATTGAACAGTGCTTGGGCTGGAGGACAGATTCGGGCTTCTTTGTTGTTGCTATAATTTGGACTTGAAAATGACCTTTTTAGATTTTAGGCTCCATATGAAAGTTGTAGGCCTATGTCTTACCTTTCCATCCATATAAATTAGACCTAAATCTGAGATCTATAGCTCCAGATATGACTCAATTACCGAATAGTATTCCAATTTGGATTGCACCAACATCTATTTTCTAAGTTTGGCCATCTTTTTATCCTTTCAATTTCAGTTCTTAAATTCATCAATCAATCCTTTCATTTATGTGATATGCCTGTATTTAAAATAAACATTTACCATAAATTAAAGGCATCTTATATTATTAGATATATTATTATAAAACATGTTTTAGTTAAGGAGTTATTGATACTTCAAGTGCAAAATGATGATATAAAACCTTAATAAAAATGCACTTTTAAGTACTAATCATCAGCACCGGCTCACTAGCAAATAAACGAACGTGACACCACCCCAAAGAGGCCAACTCAGGCAGCCTACAACTGCAAATTTGACAAGGCACCATGTCTACTTTGAGTCAACGGTTGGGATCTTTTTCATCTGAATCAAGGGTTGAAATTTTTCTCTAGAGTAGACAAGATTACCCTCTTTCAGTGTCTATAAATAAAGGTGGATTTGATGGTTTGATGGAGGAGAAAATTGGGTCCAAAATTAGAGAAAAAACAGTCACTTCCCTATTTTTCTTCTTTTTATGTTGCCTCTCTCTCTCTCTCATTTCTCATTCTCAACTGTGCCTTCAGCCACCACCACCACTGTCACTACTGGCTGGACAACCATCCTCTCTACCATAGGAAGCCTACCAGCAATTAAACAGCCACAGTGACTCTTTCCTCTCTTCTTCTTCCAGCTTTTCTCCCTCCTGTACTTTAACATGACAAGTTAACAATAGAGTCCAACAAGAAGCGTAAATATAATTTAAGGACTAACAATTATTTCAATTGCAAAAGCAAGAAAAAAACCCATTATTTTGGCCAATTACCCATTATTCTGCCAGTTAATGCAAAAGCAAGAAAAAAACCTTTTCATGAATCAAATAGAAGTTAAGCATCATGTTAGGTTCAAATAATTACATTGTAATGGTTCATAGGAGATCATACATGAAAACTAAATATTTCCATGGAAAAGGATTTTCAAAAACACACAATATGAACTCATGGTATACTACTATAATCACCTTAAAAAATAGAGGGCTCAATAATTTGTAACTATTTGTATAGAGTGTCTTCCTTTCTCTCTAAACAAAGCAATCAATATCTAAAAATTAAACAAATCATGAAGCTAACAAAATCAACAACAAACTTGAACTTATTATAAAGCTAACACCAAATAACCATGTTTTCGCATTGCAGCCAATTTTGTAGCCTATGAAACATTTATATCAAAATTGTTTCGTAACCTAGGAGAACATACACTGATACACATACTTATAAAAGCATGCAAATAAGAAAAAGTTTTAAATCAAATAGCCTCACAAGAGTTCAAAGATTATTCAGGAGCAAATAAGCAAACTATAAAAAGCACAACTGAACTTTATCCTGCCTTTTATATATCTAGACAAATGCTTTTATTCAATTCAGGATCATGAGATTGTTTGCCAGAAAGCTTTGTTGGCATTCCCTATGTAGTTTATTAAATAATCTACTCAATATTATCGTAGATCTGGATTAGTAAAGATATCTCATTAAAAGAGCTATAGGGATAAAATTTACCTTACTATATTTTCTTTAATAAAGGAGAACTCTTCTTCTGCTACAACTTACAAGAATAGAGAAGGATTGCAACAGCTTACACAAAAGTGAAGAGAGAAAAGAAGTCAAAACAAAGGATCGCATTGTCTGTGCAGAGTAGTTGAAAACTTGAATGGGAAAAGAATAATGGTTTTTAAGGTGGAGAGGTGGTTTGCATAGTTTGTAGTCTTTGCACAGACGGCGGCTTTTTATGAGAGTAAGGGAGAGGGGGTTATGCTATGTTAGGTTAATTAACTATTTATATCCCTTGGCTGAAGGCGACGTTTTATGATTTTTTTGATTAGTTCAATTTGGTTTGTAGGTTTTATAACTAAAATTGAACCAGACCTGTTAAAATTTATAGTTTTAAAAATCTGTTTAATTAGTTTTTCATCTTAGTTTGGATTTTTCAGTTAATTTTTTTTGGTTTTTTTTTATTTTCTCGGTTGATCAATTTTTTCAAAACCTTTATTGCGAATATCTTAGTTATACAAGTGAGAAGCAATAAAGCTTTAAGGACAAATGATTCATCCTTGACAACAACAGAAATCTCATTACTTTAAAGTTCTTCAACATGTAAGTATCTTCCTTTATTTTAATTTAAACATAGATATTTTTTATTACTATTATACATGAGAAAAATTTGAGTTAATATAAATTATAAATTTGATTATTTGCTTAGTATGCATGTCAAAATTCTATTATTATTTTTATATTGAAAACATGTTTGCCACTAGATAAGCTTTTACATGCTCATTATTTTAAACATTTATAAACTTTAGGCTTTTATTTCAAAGAAAAAGCAATAAAATAAACCAAAAAAAAAATAAAATCTTTATTGGTTGTGGTGTAACACCACACTTAGGTTGCCTTCCAAAAGCATTTTTCTTTATTGTCTTTAGCTAGACAACTCTCAATAGTTTTTCTTCTCAAACTTTGGTTAGATCACTTATAATAATCACTGGCAGGGTTTTGTCATCTCCCAAGTACATATATTTCAAATATTTAGGTAAACACTTCAATTCCAACTTTAGGGGCTGTTCAATAGAAGGCAAAACCCTTTCATAAGAATTTTATAGTTGTAAAGGAGATTTAACTAACTTGTTTGGCATTTTTAATTAGTGAATGCAAAGACATAATTGCTTCTTTCATGTCCTCATTATTCTTTAACCTTATATCCTTATCTATCTTGTTATGCTGTAATACGAAGTTCAACGCATCTTTCAAGAAATTATGCTCATAACCATCTTATATAATAGGGTCAATTACATTAACATAACAAACATATTCATGTTCTTCTATATTTCATAGGATCAAAAATGTTAAATGTTATTTTTTCTCCATCAAACTCAAAAGATAAAGTACACGTATACGCATCGATCTTAGTTCCTGTTGTTTTTATAAATGATCTGCCTAACAATATTTGAGTTGGATTTGAAGTAAATTCATCATCTATGTCAATGATGTAAAAATCTACATGAAAAATCAGTTCCTTTACCATAATTAGAATATCCTTAACAATACCTTTAAGGTATGATTAGACATTTTTGTTAATTGAATTATTACCTTTGTTTCATTTAAAAGTTCTAAATTCAAATTCTCGTAAATTGATAGTGGCATGACATTAATTGATGCTCCCAAATCAAGCATAGTCTTTTCTAACTTATGATTTCCAAACACATAAGGTATAGTGAACATATCTGGGTCCTTAGACCTTTGAGGAAATTTTCGTTGTATAACTACAGACATGTTCTCTCCAACCCTTATTTTCTCATCAATTTTTGGCCTTTTTGTTTAGATACTTGGTATATCATGGAATTTGTTTGATTGAATCCAACGATGGAATGTTCACCTCTACCTTCTGAAAAGTTTCAAAGATTTCATTACGCATCTCATTCTTGGATTTTTACCTTTCTTGGATCCTAAGACCCACCATTTTTATGTCAGACTCTAAGTCGTAGTGGGATGTTCGGCGTTATTATTTTTCTAATTAGATCAGGAAACTAATCTTGACTTTCAGCTTGCATTTGGACTTTAGCCTTCAAGATGATTTTATCTAAAGTTGAATTCTTATCAAAGTTATAATACTGAATGTAATGATGAAACTAGGCTTTTGAATTGAATGGTTTTGATATTTAAAAGTATTTTTATTTGGTTTAATTTTGAGGTTTCTAACCTATTGAAGGGTATTTTAAGGTTGGAAATGGCGATTTTAGGATGCATTTTAGGTTTATCACGTGAATGCGGCTTATAAAATGGGTTTATAAGGTTTAAAAACTTAAATTCTGACTTTCGATTCACTAGAGATGGCATGAATTTGAACTAGTACATGACGCATCCTTAAAAAGAAGAGGAAGAAAATAACTCAGGCGCCTGACATATTTCTGTAGCCCTTTAGGTTTCTTCTTTCTAAGAAAAAATTTTTAGATTTTGATTAAAATACTTTCTAAATAAAAATAATTATAGGTTTTTAAATTATTATTCAATTTTATCACAGTTTTTAAATTACATTATAGGTTTTTGCGGTAACATTAACAATTATTTTTTAATTATTATGTAGATAATATGAAAGAGTATTTTAAGAATGTGCTTATGAATATTCAATTAAAATAAATTTTCTTTTTTATTATTTTTTAAATAATCTTGACCTAATTTTAATATCTTTTGTTTTTTTGCCAATCAATTATAACTCAGCTATTATTAATATTTCCCTTTCAAAAAAAAAAAGATCTCGAGTTCATATCTCTACGTTCTAACAAAAAAGAAAAGAAAAAAGAGAGCCGTGAGAACAATATGGATAGAGCATGCATGGCATCGGTGTTTGGTTTGGCATGTAAGCAAAGAACCCTTTTTTGAGCTGTCTGTAGCTTTAATTATATTTGTATATTCACTTGTCTCTCTCACACGTATTCTCCTTGTTGATTATCTTGCCATGAGCTCCATTGTCTCCTTTATCCCCTCCTTCCATCGTCTCACTTGTCAAGCTGTGCCCACTAAGAAGATAGTGCTTTGAGATGGCTCAAATCCTAGGTCGCCATCTTCATCTGTTCATGCTCCTGACAGTTCTCATTCTCCAGATCGCCATGGCAGCAGGTAAGAAATGTATTATCTACTCATGTTTTTTTGGAGTTCATTATGGCTCCTTCGGCCCTTGGTCCCTACCCCTACGTGTTTTTTTTTTTTTTTTTTGGAGCTAGTCATGACTCAGTTTAAATCTGCAGTTAATCCTGGTATGTATTATCAAGAACTAAACCTATATATATAATTTATTAGCTTTTAATCCATTTATAACTTATTTCCTCTATGTTGTTTTCCAATTTATTTATTTCCTTGAGAAATTTGATTTAGTAATTGAGGGTAGCTTATAAATGATAGTATTAGAAGCTCAAGTAGACGGTCAATTGTAATGACTCGAATCAACTCAAATCTTATAATATAATTTTTCATTAACTTGACCTAGATTAGACACCTCATCAGTAAGTTATTGAATTAGTATATTAAGTGCTGGGTTGTATTATACATATATAATTAAATGGTACGAGAAATTATTATTTCCTCACACTTAAATGCATTGTGAATTGTAATATTAATTCATAGTGTATCCCTTTTATTTTTCACTTTTTTTATTTTTTTCATTTTTCTCCTTTTTTCATTTTTTTTCTAAAATTACTTTCCTTTTTTTCCAACTTTCCTCTTTTTAAAAAAATTATTTTTGTTGATTTTACTTTTTAAATATTGAGCTCGTTAAAAATTTTATTTTGTAATTTTTTTCTTTAAAACATTGTAGATTACTGTGGTGTTTTTCCATATTGTGTTTCTCTACATAATTTTTTTTGTTGTTTTTTATGATTTTCTCTGAAATTATATTTTTTAAATTTTATTTGTTAATATTAAGCTACATAAAAATTACATTTACAATATATGAGGAAAGTGCTATAACTTTCCTCATAAATTACTGTGTATTGCTACAGTGTTTTTTCTCATGTGATTTTTTTCTATTTTATTATGTTTTTTTTCTAAAATTGTCTTGTTTAATTTTATTTTTTAACTATTAAACTGGTTAAGAACTGCAATTTTAAATAAATACAATTTTTTTCCCGTAAAACAGTATGAATTGATATAATTTTTCTTCAAATAGTTTTTTTCTTGTTTTTTTTGTGTTTTTTTTTGTAATATGATTTTTCTAAAAAAATTTCACACCCAAATACACTGTGGATTACAATATTAATCCACAACGCATTCCTTTTCTTTCTTTCTTTTGTGCTTTTTCATTTTTCCCCCTTTTCCTTTTTTTTTTGTTTGTTTATCTTTTTCCAAAATTACTTTCCTTTTTTTCAACTTTCCTCTTTTTTATTTATTTTTTATTTTTTTTTCAAAATTATTTTTATTGAATTTACTTTTTAAATATTAAGGTGGTTAAAAATTTCGCTTTGTAATTGTTTTCCTTTAAAATATTATGGATTACTACAGTGTTTTTCCACATAGTATTTCTCCATATGGTTTTTTTTGTTGTTTTTTATGATTTTCTTTGAAATTATATTTTTTATTTTATTTTTTAATATTGACTGGATAAAAATTATAGTTATAATATGTGATGAAAGTGCTGTAACTTTTCTCATAAATTACTGTAGATTGCTCTAGTGTTTTTTTCACATGATTTTTTCTGTTTTATTATTTTTTTTTCTAAAATTATCTTAGTCAATTTTATTTTTTAAATATTAAGTTAGTTAAGAATTACAATTACAAGTAAATACAATTTTTTCCTCACAAAACACTATGGATTGATACAGTTTTTCCTCACATGGTTTTTTTATAGTTTTTTTGTATTTTCTTTTTTGTAATATGTTTTTTTCTAAAATTATATATTTTTATCAATTTTATTTTTTTTTAATATTGAGTTGGTTAGAATTTAACTTTATAATAAAGCACAATCATGTGAGAAAAGTACTGTAACTTTTCTCACAAAACATTATGGATTGCTATAATATCTCTTCACATGATTTTTTTTCTTATGATTTTTTTAAAATTATCTTTGTCACTGTAAATATGTGAGGAAAAGCTTAATCATTATGGATTGATGCAGTTTCTTATGATTTTATCTCTGTCATTGTGTAATTTTTTTTTTAAAATACTGTGAATTATTGCAATGTTTTCCTATATGATTTTTTCAAAATTTATCTTTATCGATTTTTTTTAATATGAAGTTAGTTAAAAATTATAGTTACAATAAAGTTAAATCATATAGGAAAAGTATTGTAATTTTTCTCACAAAACATTATGGATTGCTATAGTATTTCTCTAAATGATTTTTTATTTTATTTTATTGAGGAAAGCAATATAGTTTTTCTTACAAAACATTGTCAATTGCTACAATGTTTTTCCTCCTAGGTTTTTTTCCTTCCAAAATTATCTTTGGGGTTTTTTTTTAATATTAAGTCGATAGAAAATTTAGCTGTGGAATTGTTTTTGCTTTTTATTAAAAGAAAAGTTAAATCTTGTGGTAAAAGCACTGTATCTTTCCTCACAAAACACTGTAAATTGCTACAAATCATTTTATTTAGTCTTTAAGTTTTTTTATCACCAACACAACTTTTTTTCCATCATAAAATATTGGCTCCATCATACCTTTAATTTCGATTACTTATCTAGCACTGGTTTACAATTATAATACTATCAAGTATATTTGTTTTATAAACCCGCGGCTGCACACAATCATGCCATCTCATATATCTTATAATGGAGATGGAATAAACTATCTATTTGATCTTACATTTTTCAATTCATGTATAACTTAGCCCCCCTTTAATTTCACTCCTTTTCCCTTCTTTTTTTTACTTTTTTTTATAAATAAAATAAAGAGAGAAGTAGAGGAGTGGTGCAAGTTTTGATTATGAAATAAGTAATTTAAGAATAAAAACAGCTAAATTGAGGATGATCAATGATGGTGGACAGGATTTGTTAATTATTTATTGATACTACAAGGACTAATATACTAGTTTCACTAAACTATAGGGACTAAGTTTATAGTGCGCTCATGTTTTTGTTGCTGTTTTGTGATGTTGCTTTGGGCAGGGCAAAACACGTCCACTGAGGCAAAAAGTTTTACGTTAGTTAATAACTGCAACGATACAGTATGGCCTGGAATCCTAACAAGAGGTAACAATAGCAATGGCTATGGTTTTGCTCTACAACAAGGCCAAACCGCCTTCTACAGCGCCACGGCCGGATGGAGTGGCCGGATGTGGGCACGAACCGGTTGCAGTTTTGATAAAAACGGCACTGGAACTTGTCAAACAGGTAGCTGCGGCACCTCTATAAACTGCACAGTCCCGAGTAAACCACCCAACACCATTGCCGAGTTCACTCTTGGTGATGTTGATTTCTACGATGTTAGCCTTGTCGATGGATTTAATTTGCCTATAGTAATTTCTCCTATTGATGGCAAGGGAAATTGTAGCATTGCTGGTTGCGATGGGGACCTCCGACAAAATTGCTCGTCCGGACTGGCTGTTAAGTCCGACGGGAAGGTCATTGCTTGCCGGAGCGCATGTGATGCTTTCAACACCGACGAATACTGTTGTAGAGGAGCATATGCCGATCCTGTAGCATGTCTGCCAACCAACTTTTCCAGGAGTTTTAAACAAGTCTGTCCTGCAGCAGCTAGCTATGCATTTGATGACAGTATAAGCATCATAACATGCTCTGCCTCAGAATACATTGTCACCTTCTGTGCCTCAAGGTAAGCAATGCTTATCACTGCTGCTGCAGATGCTATATGTACCTGTTTTGATGCCTCTTCTCGAATGAATTTCTCCTTGTAGAACAATATGAATATTATGCTGACCAACTAATTTGCCTGTATGTGAGTCCAGGAATCAAAAGGTGTGCTCTTATCATGATAACAAGCTTGTCTGCAACACATCGAATGGTTCAAAAGCATCTCCCCTTGGCCTAGGAGGATGGATTGTGGTGTTGGCACTGCCTTTGACATATAATTTGAAGATGAAATTCTATCACAGCTGACATTAATGCTCCCCTTCTCTCGAGAACGTCCTCTCCTTTGTAAATCAAGAAAGTGTTCCTTTGTCGGTTTTGAAATCACGACTTACTTTTCCTGATGCCTTGTTTTTTGCAGCATGTTTGAAACTCTCTGGATTGAATTCTATTCAGATATTTTAGTCAAATCATGAGCCCATAACCAGTCAGATACAAAAAGAAGATTGGAAGTAACAGATTCTCAATACAGTAACATGCTGACAACATGAAATGATCAAAAGCTTCTGCTTAGCAAAGCTAGTTCAACTAAACCAATATAAATTTTCAGGGCTGGAGTGAATTCTCCATGTTAATAGCAAAACAATAAGTTCTTGGTGTTACCTGCTAAATTGCTCCATGGATACAATAGCTGGGAGAGATATAATCCCATATGTGGTGGTGCTACCATGAATAGCCTGTTCTGCCATAAATATTTCCTCAAGCTGTTGAGCATCAAATGTAGCTCCAACATCAGGCTGCTGCTGCTTCTTCCCACAATGATCACCAAATGGAAGTGACCTCGTCCAAGAAATCTTGGGTTTTAGAAGCCCATGAACTCACTCTTTCTTGCACTGCATCTGTCACCACATCACATCACATCACATCACATCACACAAACATGCAGACTTGCTGAATCCTACTTTGCCACTACCTACTGTTGCTCACTTGGATCAATGCCATTGAGCTTCCATTTGTCTCCTTCAAACTGACTCGCAACCTTAAACCTGCAGCTTCCATTTGTTGCAGAATTCCCCCCCCCCCCCCCCCCCCACACCCACATAATTCCCTGTACATTTATGCTACCTCTTAAACTCATTTTGTGCAATTCAATAATCCCCCCCCCCCCCACCCACCCAACTCTTGATGCAGCAAGGAGGATGAATTTGAGGGCTAAATCGTGATTTTGGAAAACATTTCTTGGATTTTGATTTCTTGTTGCACGCTATGTTTCATCATTCACTGACTACTTCGGTAACGTTTCTTTCTTTCTTTCTTTCTTTCTAAAATAAGAACATAGGTATATCACCTAAAAAAAGAAGAAAAATAGAATAGATAAATGAAATAATCTTAACCTTACATTTTCAAGAACCCATCTCCATCGTTGTTCTGCATATAAAATATATATATATATATATATATATATATATATATATATATATATGACCTTAAGCCTGCCTAACCCGGGAAGATTTCAAGTTCGAATGCAGATGAAATTTGGTTGACTGACTTTATCAAATTTAATCTAATTAACACCAAGAAATTTTTTTAAAGAAATCGATTTTGATTAATTCAATAACTTATTAGTTGACCCGAATTGACTCGGTGACTATTGGGTTGATTCAAAGAAGGTGTTTTTTTATATAAGCAAAGTAAATTTAAACTTTTATCAAAATAATATCATTTAAAAAAATATTAATAAAATAATATATTTTTATCTTATACGTATATTTACTAAATATTATTATTTCCAAATACCACACATGATAGTTATCACACGCTTTAAAATATTGGTAGAAGACAAAAGCCAAGTCCATTCCATGAGCTTCCATTGTCTGAAGTGGGAGCTCATGGATGCACCATTCCTTCTATCCACGGATCCAAATGATTGAATTGCTTCAGCCAAACGAAAGAGTCGAGAAACTCAGAGCAAGATGGTGTTGTGTATAGTCCCACACCATGTGATGGTGGGACCATCACATTAAATGTCATGTGATGGCTGTCTCTTGGTGTTAATATTAGTGTGGTTCGGGTACTGTAGCAACAAATTTGAAATTAGAAGAGAGGAGAAGAAAATCAAGAGAGAAAAAGAGAAGAAAAGGCAGCAGAGCAGCCTTCATTCTTTCTTCGATTTCCAGCTCGTTCACCGTTGGATCGGGCTGAGATTTTGACAGCAGTTTCTAGATACGTTGATCTC